ACACACACACACACACACACACACACACACACACACACACACACACACACACACACACTCCTCTTCTCAGGTGAGGGCCGGTCTGGAGAAAGCTAAGCAGGCTCTGGAGAAGGAGTCAGCGGATCTGAACAACGACCTGCGATCACTTGCCAGCGCCAAACAGGATGTGGAGCACAAGAAGAAGAAGGTGGAGGGTCAGCTGAACGAACTGCACTCACGCTTCAATGAGAGCGAGCGGCAGAGGACTGAGCTGGGAGAGAGAGTCTCCAAGATGAGCGTGAGTCCTAAAAATATTGAATAAATTATAATACTAGTTATATTTGCTGTTTTAACATACTGCATTGAAATACAAAAATGACTACAACAGAGACTGAGATTTAAAGAATAAAGCAACAAACAAAATGATCTTTTTAGAATGAAGTTGTCACATTGATCCTTAATGTAGGAATAGGCTTTTATTGTGAAAAGCAGCTGAAAGATTCCAGTTAAAGATCATGAATTTCTGTGAATTTCCTTCCTCTGTGTTAGATGGAGCTGGACAGTGTGACGGGTCTGTTGAACGAGGCAGAGGGAAAGAACATCAAGCTGAGTAAAGACGTCTCCAGTGTGTCCTCTCAGCTCCAGGACGCACAGGTGAGACTTACTCAAGATGTCATTCACTTTAAACAGTTCCTGTGTATAATCTTACTTTACCGACTTCCTGAAGTGAGTCCAGATTTGACTTTGTAGGTACTGTCTCGCTAGAGTCAAGGGGAATATACATCAGTAATATAGGCAGGTCAACAGTGTCCCACACTACAGACCCACATGAGAGAAACTGGTTCTGTGGCCATGGCTCTAAAATGGTTGTCCTATGTCGCACTGTGAAAGTGGTTCGAAGTTTGCCTGTCATAAATTTAAGACGACCGTACTCAAGCCACTGTACATGTGGTGGTCACTCAACCAGATGAGCGTTTTTTCAAATCTGGGGACATCTTCCGGAGGTCATGTCATAATGGCACTGGTCTAAAAGTCAGAGGTCTCTGAAGAACATGAAAATCTCACTTATATTTTGAGCTATTTCAGAAAAAACGGACTGATGTTTCTGGCGATGTTACACCTTTGTCCACATGTGCTGCAGGAGCTGCTGTCAGAGGAGACTCGTCAGAAGCTGAATCTGTCCGGACGTCTCCGTCAGATGGAGGACGACAGGAACAGTTTGATGGAGCAGCTGGAGGAAGAGACAGAGGCCAAACGGGCCGTGGAGAGGCAGGTCTCCAGCCTCAACATGCAGGTCAGTAACTTCAGACGTCAGTCATCTGACATTCAGAAATAAATACGTCTGTATGTACCTTCATTTAGACATTAATGGCACACTGTAGAAGTGTGACAAACTCCTTTGAGCTCTCCCATTTCACCTCCTGTCAGCTGTCGGACTACAAGAAGAAGCTGGACGAGATGTCGGGGGTGGTGGAGCTTCTGGAGGAGGGGAAGAAGCGTCTGCAGCGGGAGCTGGAGGCGGCAAACAACGAGTACGAGGAGAAGGCCTCGGCCTACGACAAGCTGGACAAGAGCAGAAGCCGAATGCAGCAGGAGCTGGAGGACGTCCTCATGGATCTGGACAGCCAGCGGCAGCTCGTCTCCAACCTAGAGAAGAAGCAGAAGAAGTTTGATCAGGTCTGGAAGATTTCTCTTTCTCTGTGTGTGTGTGTGATTAAAATCCTTACATTCGCTTTGCATAGCTTTTCAATCTCCATTTTCTTATGGAGGGGCTGTATGTGAGAGCGCAAATGTCCGAGTCAGATGCTGAAACTTTCTTATTCTCCTCCAAGCTCCCTAATGAATTATGTGTTAAATTCACAGTGAGTCAGTGGGCACGTTTCTAACACGAGACAAATCTGAAACTGGAAGAAAATAAATATCTCTCTGCTTGCCTGTAAAGCCTGTAAAGCTGTAAAAGCTCTCCTTTGCTCTGAAGACAAAGGAGAGCTTCCAGAACTCAGTCTCCCAGGGTGCTTCATCTTCACACGTAGAGACAACTTTCAACCACTATTGGTCACTGTGTGCCCCATGACCCATGAGGTCAAAAGGCCAATAAAAGCCGAGTTTCCCCTCTCCTCTATCTCTTCTGCCTCTTTCCCCTGCTGACCGCTCCTGGAGGAGAAGGTATTGCTCCTGCTCTCGCCGCCAAGTAGACTTCCTCCCTACACAAGCTCCTCAACTTCAAGCAGGCCTGCCAGGAGCAGACTGCTAAAACCTTTCAAAGGCAATGAAGCGAGAGCCTGCCTAAGAACTTCAGCACAACTGGCCACGACACAAGGTCTGACCAGCAGATGCACAACAGGAGCCACAAACCAACAAGACCACTTCACTSGACTTCAAACAGCACATCCAAAAAGGACCTTTCCCTCTTTTTCATGGACGGGTAACACAACTGGGCTTTATTATTACGCTAGGCTAAGCAAAGGACTGTTTCATTCTATTTCTGTTTCATGTGATGTTTTTAAGTTTGACTTGTGTTGCTGTGATATTTGGTAATATGTTATTTGAAAGTTAATGTTAGTTCTGTTATGCTGATCACTTTCTCTGCATGCATCTAACTACTTTCGTTATCACCTCAAACACTCATCTCCACAAACACATACATGTGATCTCAGCACACACACGCACGCACACACACACACACACACACACACACGCACACACACACACACATACATACACACACATGCATACTCGCATACACACATGCTTGCTCATTGTGGGAACTGTTGGGTTTCTCTATGTTGAATCCGATTTCATTTGACCTTCTATGTAAAGTGCCTTGAGATAATGCATATTATGATTTGGCACTATACAAATAAAATTGAATTGAAGTGATTTGAATAGAGGCAGAGACAGTGGCTCAAAAAGTCTTTAGACCCAGATTTGTGGGGATTTGTTATCCAGATTTTCCACTGAAAACCAGATGATTGCATATTTGACTACAATAGTCCACCTTCTGAGGTGTTTCCAAAGAAAGTGTTCTTGATTGGAAATGTTTACAATGGCTCTCAAACCATCTTCAGGCTGATATTAGAAAGTCCATTAAATGTTGTAGTTTGTCAATGAGCATCAAGAGATGCATCAGCCTTCACTCATTCATAGAAAGTGAGAAGAATAAAGTCCCAGGGTTGTCCTTCCTTGTCCATGATGACAGATTTGTTTGTTTAATCCATCTGGTGAAATGTACAATTAACATCTCTGCGGCCCTAATGTTGCTCAGATGCTGGCAGAGGAGCGAGCCGTGTCCTGTAAGTTTGCAGAGGAGCGGGATCGTGCAGAGGCGGAGGCGAGGGAGAAGGAGACACGGGTGTTAGCTCTGGCCAGAGCTCTGGAGGAGAACCAGGATGCTCTAGAGGAGGCGGAGAAGACCATGAAGGCGCTCCGAGCTGAGATGGAGGACCTCATCAGCTCCAAGGATGATGTGGGAAAGAATGTAAGATAAATGGTCTGAAAGGGTTTTTCCAGGATTAACGAAGGTTGAAATAAGTCCTGGTCTGATCTTCTTTTCATCAACTTCAGGTCCACGACCTGGAGAAGGCAAAGCGCGGCCTGGAGGCCATCGTGGAGGAGATGAGGACACAGATGGAGGAGCTGGAGGACGAGCTGCAGGTCGCCGAGGACGCCAAGCTGCGTCTGGAGGTCAACACTCAGGCCCTCAGAGCTCAGCACGAGAGGGAGGTGCAGGCCCGAGATGACATGGGCGAGGAGAAGAGGAAGCAGCTTCTCAGACAGGTGGAGCCTCCTGCTAAAGTGTTTTCTATAAATGCTCCCACATCAGTCGCTCAGTCTTGCATCAGTTTCACTGAGTCCAAAATAATGTCCTCCCGCTCTCCCTCTCTGTCAGGTGCGTGAGCTGGAGGCAGAGCTGGAGGAGGAGAGGAAGCAGCGAGGTCAGGCATCAGCCGGGAAGAAGAAGCTTGAGGGGGAACTCAAGGACATGGAGGACCAGCTGGAGGCCACCAACAGGGGGCGTGACGAAACAGTGAAGCAACTCCGCAAGATCCAGGTCAGTTTTTTTGTGAGGTTGTTTTTCTTTTAACGTCTTTTTGTTCAGGGGTGAGGAACCGTTTTCTACCAAGAGAAATTCAACTGATGATGAAGAAGCTGCTTAATGGAGTCAGACCGACTTATCAGATAATATCAGCTGATATGAAAAGTTTTAATTTATAGAATAAACAATGCAGAGAAGATGTGCATTTATGTTTATATTCCAATTGAAATCAAAAACTTTCAAGAAACTAAAGCTGGGCTGATATTTTTAGAAACAGGGTAGCGTGCCAGCGTCCCACACTGCAAGTCGTATATATTTAAAAAGCAGTTTAAACCCAGCGTGCACTTCCTGTGCTCCTCACAGGGCCAAATGAAGGATCTCCAGAGGGAGCTGGAGGACTCTCGTGCAGCCCAGAAGGAAGTTATCACTTCAGCCAGAGAGTCTGAGCGCAGAACTAAGGTCATGGAGGCCGACATCATCCAGCTGCACGAGGTGAGGTCAAAGAAAATGCTTTGTTGTTTCCCGTCAGTTGTGATTGTGTGTTACCAGAATGTTTAGTTTCTCTTTCATAAAAAAATAAAAATAAAAAAAATGCAAAAAGCAGCAAAACCTTGTTAAAAACATTTGGAAAACGATTAAATATTTTTTTCACTAGCCTTGAGGGCTTCCATAGATTTGAGAACAGGGAAGCAAATGCAGATGTTTCTACAGCGTTGCCCTCAACTCTCTCTGACACTGCTCCGATAACATGGTCCTCCTTCATCTGTCCAGATGTTGGCAGCAGCTGAGAGAGCTCGAAAGCAGATGGAGACAGAAAGAGACGAGCTTCATGAAGAACTGGCCAGTAACTCCTCTGGAAAGTAGGTGTTTTTACTGCAGATGCTGCACTTCCATTTTGTTTTGTGAAATCATCAAATAATTCGACAGAGGAGAATTTCGGGACTACTAGTTCCTAAAGGGATAGTTCACTGAAAAATGAAAATTCACTCATTATCCACTCACAACTATGCTGATGGAGGTGTGGGTGAAGTGACCTCATCACAACAGACAAAACACAACATGGAGGCATTTTAGGTTTTTCTGTTGTTTGATTACGTCTGAAAAAGAAGTCACACTTCAATTGTATTGGATTTGGCTGCAACACTGTTTAACCCTGGGACTCAAGAAGTGTTTTGTGGACTCATGAACTGAAAAAAGTATGAAGATGCAGCATTTGATTGAATAATTTATTATTTAGTTATTAAAATTAGGAATAAAGGTTTTGTGATGCCAACCGGAATTAGCAATTACAATTCCATTTTTGGATTTCCCAGAGTTTATAGTTTTTGAAAATACTCAATTCCTTTTAACGTTACTACTTTTGCAAAAAGTATTCCTTCAGAAAAATAAATACTTGTGAGAAGAAGGTCTGAAAATTCACTTACATTTGGTATTGACTTCTCACATTTACTTTCTGTCCTTCTCTTACAACATCCAATTTCTCTCTCCTCCTCTTCCTCATGTTCAGGTCTCTGCTGTCCGACGAGAAGCGTCGTCTGGAGACAAAGGTCAGTCAGCTGGAGGAGGAGCTGGACGAGGAGCAGGCCAACATGGAGAGCCTCAACGAGCGGCTGAGGAAGAACCAGCAGCTGGTAGGTTCAGGGAGGGCAGAGATCTGACTTTAAGTGTAAGAGGAGCCGGAGTCTGGACTCTGAGTGTGCGTTCCTGACTGTCGCTGTCCAGGTGGAGCAGCTGAGCGCAGAGCTGGCGGCTGAGAGATCCTCCGCTCAGAGCAGGGAGGGATCCAGGCAGCAGCTGGAGAGACAGAACCGAGAGCTGAAAGCCAAACTGCAGGAGACCGAGGGCCAGGGCCGCTCCAAACTCAAATCCTCCATCACCGCCCTGGAGGCCAAGCTGAGAGAGGTGGAGGAGCAGCTGGAGATGGAGAGCAGGTAAAGGTGCATGGTGGGAGATGGAGTTTGGTTCCAGAGGTTTAATTTCAACTCACTGGCAAAACAAAATAAGTTGGTTAATAACATCTCTTAGAAATGCTTGAATATTTTGAAAAATACTCTTTGATAAAAAACCTTTGCAAGAACAACTATCATACAAACAGATTCATTTTTAAACACAGAATTGGTTTGAAAAAACTTTTAATAACTACACAAATGATCAAATATATGAATCTACTTATCTACAATAAGTTTGTACAGTTGAATGTTAGATACAGATGCAGAGGGAGCCTTGACCCCATATGAAGTAGTAACACCAGAAAATCATGGCAGCAGTGTAGCCAATGGTTCTGGTGAAGCACCATCACAGAACACAAACTTTTTTTTATCTTTATGGGAAAAGTTTGACATTCATAACATCCATCTGTGACAGTGACATCGTCTGAAATTGATGTTTACATATATATTTGACTGCAAGCTTCAAGGCAAAAAAAATGTACTTTGAAGGTTTAATTTAGTTTCTAGAGAAACATTTTGAGAGAGCATAGTTTTTTTCTGTGATTCTTAATTTTATTTTATATCATTCAGTATATTTTCTGTGTAGCTGATCTGTGACGTGGGCTCAATAACATTATGCATGACTTCTGCTGAGGTATCCACCTGCATGATGATGTTTTTGTAGAGAGCGCCAGGCCAACGCCAAGAATCTGCGTCAGAAAGAGAAGAAGCTGAAGGATTTCACAATCCAGATAGAGGATGAGAGGAAGCAGGCAGAGCAGTACAAGGACCAGGTAACATGGCTGTAATCTGATTACAGAAGTAATCTGTAACCAGCTGACGCAAAGGTGACGTCACCTTCCATGTGTTCGGTCACATACCTGCATGTGTCACAGCTGGTCCGTGTGTCCGCTCTGTGCAGGCGGAGAAGGGCAACGTGCGGCTGAAGCAGCTGAAGCATCAGCTGGAGGAGGCGGAGGAGGAGGTTCAGCGCGTGGTGGCGGCTCGCAGGAAACTGCAGAGGGAGCTGGACGAGGCGTCCGAGGCCAACGACACCCTGAACAGAGAGGTGTCATCACTCAAGAGCAAACTGAGGTAACGGCTGAGGGAGACTGAGAGGGTGGACCTGAGGGCGGAACAGAGCTGAACAGTTTGTTTTGGATATTTAAAGCAAAAAAGCAAAACATATGGTTCCAGCTTCTCAAACATGAGGATTATTGTCACTGAGGATTCTGTCGGATATTTCAAATTTGTCCAAATTGGATAGATGGTAATTAGCTGGTAGATAAATCTGGTACTGAGGACATTTCCTGTTTTTTTGAGATTATTGTACGTCATACTTGTTTTCTTTGTAAATACATTTTAGTCAGATAACTCCTTTGACATGTTCGAAAATGTTTGAAATCTTTAGAACAATGTTTAGAACAAAGTTAGTGTCTAGGCTCCGACTTCATCAACCCCCACAGATATGATTTAATTTATATAACAGGAGTGTTATATAAAAATATTAATAACACCCCTGTCGGAGCCTACAGGTGGAAACTGGAGTGGTGAGTTACTGAATCCAACAGCAGCAATATTAGAAAGCAAAGGGAGTGATGGGAATTTTGGTAGCTTTCATATGCTGCCTGAACTCGCTTGCAACTGTAATTAATAGATTATATAAAGGACAAAGATTTTATTGTTATTTCTATCAATTTTAGCTCAGCCAGTTTGATGCAACTTTTTTTTATGTTATTTTTCAGAATTATTTTTTTATTTTCCAAAGGAAGCATGAAAGAAAAAGTTGATGAATAATAAAAAAAAATGAATATAGTGAATACAGATGGACGACACGTCTCCACTCCCACGATCCGCAGTAGAGACATGGCATTTCACATCTTTAAACCATCAAATATCTTTTTAAACCCAAACTTATCAGAGACACGAACACAGTGTGATGAGAACTACCTCAAAGGACAGAAATCTGTATTTAGTTTGGTCCATGTACCATCTGTTTACATGGAGGATAGAACGGTCACAGAATCTAAAATGAACACACATTTCTTTACTTTGTCCATGTAACACATGTAACACATGATTTAAGTATAATAGTTTAAAACTCTAAAACAGGTATTTCATTTGGAAGGCAGATTTTTTAATTTTGAGGGTAATTATGAAATAATCAAATTTCACCGTGTAAGTGATGAAATTCCCATTCAGCCCTGATTCTTTGTCAAACTCTTCAATGTTTGTGATTTTGAATTTCCTTCTCTTCCTCATGTCTGGCTGCTCCTATTTCACATCTGTCGTCAGGAACCGCTGACCTGCAAACTGTCCTCCAAACTTATTTTTATTTAATTTTCACTCTGCTAATCCCTCAAGTTCTTGCTGCTTTCTGCTCCTCCTCTGTGCTTCACCTCCCTCTGACCCTCCTCTTCCTCCTCTGTCTCTTCCTCCTGATGTGTTTGGCGCTCCCAGGCGTGGTGGCAGTGGCGGGGAGGCGGCGTTTGGCAGCCCCAGCCCTCGGAGCAGCAGCGGTGGCAGCAGCATCAGGAGCTTTGGGATGGGAGGGAGCATCAGCCGGAGGAGCGTCATCAAAGAGAACTCAGTGGAACTGCAAGAGGACGAGCCCCCGTCCCCGTCTCCCCCTGCCTGCACCCCCCCACTGGACGACCGCGAGGACGTCTACACCCCCGACGAGTAAAGGGACCAGTTCTGATTCGATTTCGCTCAAGTTAAATGTCAACAACATATTTCAGGAATATTTTTACACTTAAATTTAACACAAAAACACACGATGGTCCTGGATATTTTGGTTTGAAAAATATATTT